AAGGAACTCCGTACCAAGCCAGCGCCACTTCCCAGCACATGCGTCCGTTGAAGGCAAGGGTCCTGCCCTAAATCCCCTTGAATCTTGCCACTGCCTGATAAATTACCTGGCCCATAGTAAGCCCCAAACCCACTGCCATCACATCAACTCCAACTCTTAGTGACCTTGTATAGGGCTTCTGAGGCTAGCCATCTTTACGGGCGCAGACTACCTCCTCTTTCTCCCAAGGAGCAGTTGATGGGTTTGAACCACCAGCCCTTGCAATTAACAGTCTTCTGTTTACCCAGCAGTGCCACCAGGGCAATCTGCCCAATAGGTGTTCATTCTGAATGAATGAACTATGCCTTCCTTCAAGTTCATGCATCGACTCATATGGGGCCGTCACTAACTCTGTGTCTCATTATGGAAGGCTCTCACACGCAGAGACAATCATGCCACAGACCTCCTCTCCGTGGCTGTTCCATACGGGAGATGTATTGACACAGGTGCTCCTTGGCCTGCAGAATGTAATCTTAGTTATGACCTTGAAGGTTTGCTGTGGCCCAATGAGCTCATAGGAAAGAACTTGCCAGGCTCTGAGAACTTGGCTTTTGTGACTTTGAAAAGCAGCAGAACCTACTTGGGCATGGGCCATTTGTTTTAAGCCCTATCAAGTCAGAAGCGATTGCTATTGTTTCCCCTCACCACACACACACACACACACACACACACACATAGAGAGAGAGAGAGAGAGAGATTAGGCCCACTGCACAAGAAGAGCCAATTAGAGTTGACTTTCAGCAAGGTCAGATCCTCAGTCAGGAATGCCAACATGGAAGCCTCCAAACGTTCTCCAGGTGTGAATGTCTTCAATTATTCAACAGGCCCCAGAGCCCAGGCAGGAGCCAAGCACTAACTTAGGGGAAAGCAAGGACTGTAACCTCGGGTAGAAGTCTTCACCTCTCCTTGTGTCTGTTTCTAAACAAGAATGGGCCATTTTTTAGGACAAAATGTTGAAGTGTGAGGCCTACACAATGCCTGGAACATAGCAGACATGAGTATATGCCCAGCAGTGTAAGTATCCTGGCATTGGGCCGCGTCTAGAGGCCCCCACTCTGCCGGCAGACTGCGGTTTTGCTCATTCACTCGTTCATTAGGACGTGTTTGCTGAGCCCTGTGTGTGGAGAACGGGGGCTGGAGCAGGAAACAAAGCAGGCGAGTCGCTGCTCGCACGGCGTTTCCTTCTAGGTGGAAGGAGAGTGGCAATAAGAAATATAAACACATCGAAAGAAAGAACATGCTGGGTGGTGATACGCTTTCAAAAGAAGGATAAGGGACAGTCTGATGAGGGTGCAGGGTTCAGGGAAGGTGACGGGAATTTCTCTGGTGTCGAACAAAGGCCTGAAAGGAGGCAGAGGGTGAATGGTGTCATCATATAACCCCGGACCCTGAGGGACAGAGGGAGGAGCAGTGCAGTAACAGGCCTGGTGGGACGCAGGAAGAGCCTCGCTAGTAACCCGCTCCTGGCCCGAGGCGCCTGGACAGCCACGGCTCAAATCTCTCTGGGGACAAACTCCATCCTCTGGTTCCCACTCTCCACAGACAGGACTCCCGCAGAGACACAGGGGGGGTCCTCTCCCCATCAGACACCTCACATGCTGTCCACAGAACTAACTGTGGGAGATGAGGGGAGCAGGCTTCAAAAAACAAGGAATGAAGTAGTTGAAATAAAGGACGCGTCTGCGTGGGAAGGTGGGAGAATGTTAGGCGGGGCCTGAGAGTCAGCAGAATCATTCTTGGTCTTGAGAGCCACGGGAGGCCAAAGAAAGACCGGGTGGGAGGTGAGGCTGGACCTGGCGGAGTTGGTGCTAGTGGAGACCCCCGGGAGAGGCAGAGCAGCCCCTGCAGGCAGGCAGGCAAGCCTGGTTATCCTGGGCATCCCATTCAGCATGGTGACAAATGACACAGAGTCATGCCAGTAATGGTGTGTCGTAGGTCATCTGAGAAGGTGGGTGGTTTACCTAAAGCCCACCAGAGACTCCAGGGACCACCAGTTATAAGCCCCTGCTTTGGCTATTTTAGTGAGAGAAACTTCGCCTTGACCTCCAACGTGAGCTTCAAGGACATGACACAAGCTCAGTTGAACTTGGATGAAATTCACAGTTGCTGGGAAAGAGTTGGACGCTCTGTTTCACCTCCAGCTACTTAGAGATTTGGGTAAAGAAATACATGAAATCCTTTTGGGTTCTTCCTTCTCTGTTTGCAGGCCTCAACCCCAACCAGTATCTGGACAGCACTTCTAGCTCCCTGCCCTTTACGCAGGCAGCAGGACGCTGCATGGGACTCCTCGGAGACATGCTCCACACAGTGCTCTTGTAACTCCCAGGGCACACCGCCAGATGCATCTACTGCCCCAGGTTGGATCTCCTTTATCTGCAAGCGAGGTGTCAATAATTCATTATTCAGGAATAATGAATTACCTGACATTTTTACATATCCCCTCACCCTGTGGGAGCACCTGCTGGATCGACAGGTATAAACTACATTTAGCTAATAGATCATCCAGTTCAAGTTAAGGGTTACATATGACTGCCTTGGTCTCAAGTTCAAAGCAAGCAGTGCAACTGGCCATGATGCTCATCCACGGTCATTGAGTCTGTACTGAACTTATCAGAGACTGGATGTCTTTACAGGAGCATACAGCTTCATTTCTCTCCTGTCATGGGTTTGAACTAGCCAACCTTGCAGTTGGCAGTTCAATACTTACCCATCATATCCACCCGAGTCCCTTCTTAGTCAAAATCAAAAACTCTCAAGGAGAGAGAGAGAGAGAGAGAGAGAGAGAGAGAGCTGGGGGTTGTACAGGGTGATATGAAGGAGAGGAGTCTGCAGCAAAGGAGACCATGATCCAGAAGACAGATGGGATTTGAACTACAAGACCTGAGACATCACTGGTTGAAAACAAATAAATAAATGGACCCTATAACAATATCAAAGTTGAATCAACAAGTATGCCAGTGAACTTCGTTCGTTCATTATTTGCCTCGTTTGGACCCAGGCCATACCTCTATTTAGTTGCTCCTTTCATTTCTCTGAGTCCTAATTATAAGGCTAGGTTCTCTAATAAAATAAAATTGTTCTCCTGCTCTCTGCAGTTGGCGACTAAGCGGGTTACGGCAGGTCCCCTATCCCGTGTCCTCATCCGCCTGCCTCAGAGGGTCAGTGCACTGGCCCATGTTCGGAATACTAACAGTTCTGCTGGCACTTCACCCACAATTCATCCAATTCATTCAATCATATAAAGAAGAGTTGTACAATCCTTACCACAATCACTTTTAGAACATTTTGTTCTCCCTTGTACTCACTGTTATTTGTGTAATTTTTTTATCAATTATGGGGGCAGGGGGAATACACAACAAAGCATTCTCCAATTCAACAGCTTCTACGTGTCTAATTCAGTGCCACTAATTATATTCTTCATGGGGTACACCCATTATAGATATCCTTTTCCAAATGACGGAACCCAGCTCTTATCCCGGAGCTTGCACCAATGGTCCAAAGACAAGACACTTGAAGGAAGGAAGGGAGGGAGCATGGGGATGCGCCTCTAGAGAGCTCTGTTTCCTTGTTTGTAAAGCAAATCATTGGGTCTGACTGGTTCGTAGACCGTGTGTGTCAGTTGGGGGAGGCATGGCTTAGCCATTTTGCAGTGTGAACAAGTAACCCGCCCCGATGTGTTCAAACCTGTGTCTTGATGTTAACCTATGCACCTGGCTGCCATTGGTCACAGGAACGTTGGTGAGGGTGTCCTGGGCGGTGTAAACAAGCCCACGTAAGAGATCAAAGCACACATCCTTTTAACGAGGCAGTACGTCCTCCGAGTCACGCCTGACTCGAATGGGAGCCTCCATTTTACCCCCACGCATTGGCGCCACTGACTCTTGGTCTGCACAGTGGGGTAATAAGCCCTCCAAATGTAAACCCACTCACTTCTGATGGAAACAGCATAAAATCATGTGTTACCATTACTTTGAAATCACCACCGCCTGTGTTCCTAGGTAACTTTGAGCAACGTGCAGAACCATGCTCTGTCATCACTGTTTTGTTCGGTATCTCTCCGAGGGAGATGTCCCAAACCATATTTCCTAGGGCCCTATGCCTTCTGACGTGGGGTGAAATTCGGTCAATGGGCAGGAAGGAGAGGCAGAGAGAAGGCAGGCCACCTCTCCTCCTCCCTCTCGGTGCAGCGAGGCCTCCTCTGAGACCACTGCCCTTTGGAAAGCCATTCCCACTGTGGCCCCAGGTCCTGCTGGAGGCCTCCCCCCAACACTGTTCCTTCAGCCCTACGGGTGACGACCACAGCCTCCCGCCCTGCTTATCTCTGGGCTGCCTCCCTGCGCCTTCAGCCCTTGGCATGGGCTCTGCTGCCCTGACTGGATGCTGAGAGGTGACCATCCCAGGGATTACCGGTCTCTAGAGACTAGACACCATGCTTCGTTAGGGAGATACAGACTCCAGAAATTGTGTCCCGAAGGCTCCTTCTTTATTACGGGCAGAGAAAACTCACGTTCTGGAATAGGTGAGTTCACATAGCCACCTGTCCTGGTGCTGCTAGCCCTAGGCAGGGGTTGGAGCAGAAGTAGCACTGGATGGCGAACCAGAGCTGACCAACCGTTCCTACGACCTTCACCAAGTACTGCGTGAACCTGACTTGACGCATGTCACTGGCCACGTGTTGGTCCGACTGACCTGCCCACCTGCAAGGCTCAGACACGGAGGGCACACAGCATGTTCTAGGAAAGCAAATGATCGTTGTAAATCTAAATCTGCGACGCACTGTAGACGTTTCCAGAAAAGAACGTGCTTTTCCCTTGGCTTAGCTGGTTTTGATCTTTGGCCTGTCTCCAGACGGAGGAGCAGGGATGTGAGAAGTGTGCAAACCACATGGGTGATCCCTGAGGTGGGTGGCTGTGCTGGGCCCCCCTGGCATCCACACTTCATCAAAGAGGGTGGCGACTTACCGATGTCAAGAACCCTCTGCTTCGCCGTGTGCTGCCGAGAGTGCCAGTACTTCCAGTATTTCAGCTGTTCGTCTCGGTTTTTGTCTTCACTGAACACCACCATCACCACGCTCTGCGGGGGAGAACATGGAGGGAGCTTACTTCCTGTTCACCCTCAAACCGTCTGGGAGCGCTGCCTCGGGCGTTGCTGGGCTGTTGCCTCTTGTCTGAGAGAAGCCCAGACAAGCCCGAAGGCAGGGCTTCTGCGGTTCTTAAAGGGCCCACTTAAAACTGAGGCAGCGAAGAGGAAAAGAGGACCGTACCAGCAGTAGCTGGATCGGCCAACTAATTACTAGTCAATTTGTGATTTTGGAAGGTGAAGATTAAAAGAAAAAATGGGAGGGGCGCTTCGCATAACAGAAACAAGCACATTTTGAAAATTGCGACTCTGAAACATTGAATTTGGCACCACTGGTGAAAGAGCAAGCATCCCTTCCTGGCCGAATGAAGTGCCTCGGCTTGGGAAAGCGGAGGCCCTGAGAAAAAGACTAACGATGGGGTCGGATGGATGAGTGTGGCTCTGAACTGCAAGTATTTCATTCTGCACGGAACTACAACGTGGGCAGACTGAAAGGTTTAACCTGAGACACGGGTTGCATTAAGTAGAGCTCCCGATGCAGTTTGAAGATGACTATCTGCATGTGAAGTGCCACAGAGAAGTTCCTTGAGGACTGAGAGTTGATGAAACATTTTTTTGCTGGAATAGCAGGTAAGCAGGGATGGAAAGACTCACTTGCGTCACGTCAACCCTGGCTCACACGACCCCAGAGGACGGATTCAAAATGCCCAGGACTTTAACTCTTTACAGGAGCAGTCTCATCTTGCTCCTGTGGAGCAGCAGGTGAGTTTGAACTGCTGACCTTGAGGTTAGCAGCTCAATGCAATAGCCCAGTACAAGATGGAGGGGGAAAGGGAGAATAGCCGTCAAAATGCGTTCTGGTCAGACACCTTCCTACAAGTCTAGGAGGACATTTCATGGACTCGCAGTGCGTTGGCACTTCTGCTCTGTGGCACCTTCCTGATTCATTTGTTACGCTTAGTCAGCCCATTGCAATGTCTTCTCGTTTGACTTCAAAATCACCGAGGACGAGGGTCGTGTGTGGGCTCACCACCTGCATCTTGGTTGCCGACTGTTAATTCAATTGCTGGCTCATTCCTAAGGGTCACTGTGTATTCTCGTTCATGACACAGAAAGCAGATGTTTGTCTGAAAACTAGCCTAGAAGCAGGCACCTCTGTTCTTCAAATGAGCCAACAGCATGGCCTTCGCTGCAAGGAAGGAAACCAGCAACTGGGCTGCGGAAACCAGGAGGCAGCCAGCTCTGCACTCCCGCCAGCTTCCTCCATCTTTCCCGGGAACTAAGTTTATGGCTGCAGAATCGGATGGACATAAACAATGTCACTGGCGACTGTACGAAATGGCAAAGGTTTGGTTATGGATACCCGTGCCACAATTGAAAAACATTTTCTCATAGTTAACTATGTTTATTTCAGCCTCTTCCAATACAAAATAGCATTTAAGAATTCCCCCCACCCCCACCCCCGAGCAACAAATAACCCAATTAGCATAAATGATGGCATTCTCCTGGTACAGAAATTGACTTCTTCTGTGATAAAGAGGCTGTCTGAAACTGCCATTGCACAGCCTTATGTGCTGCAATTCAGAATTAAGTACTATCTTGAGATGTTGTGCTGGTAGATTACAATTGAATCCCTCTTAAGACCTCTATTCCGGGACCAAGGAGCAAGAGCCATCTGCTCTGAGACAGCGAGTTCCCCTCCAAGCCCAGCCCAGCCAAGCCATGGCCATTGAGTTGATTCCGCCTGAGAGAGTGTGTCAGAAGTCTTTCAGAGAAGAGCAGCTCCTCGTTTCAGCCAACATGAAAAACAAGGAAATGCAATCTCCGGTTGCCATGATTTCTTGGATTTCAACAAAGTAAAATTCTTGGGAGGGAAGTCCCTGTCCACGGCCCTGTTGCCAGAGCTGAAAATACTCTTCCTGGGCAAGAGTGGGAGGAACGGTCCAGCTGTGCCTGCTCCAACTTCTACTACAGCTCAAGCAAGGAGCAGAGGATATGAAAGAGACAGAAGTCAAAAAACGGGCATTCTTTGTTTGTGGGAAAGCGTTTTCTGGGGCTCTTTTCAGGGTAGGGAGAAAAAAACCAATCAAACCCTCAGCCGAGGAGTCTCTTCCAACTTGTGATCCTAGCATTTCCGAGGCGATACATCTTGACAGGAGCACACAGCCTCCTGGTTCTCCCGAGGAGTGGCAGAGAGCCTTGAACCACAGACCTTGCAGTTAGCAGTCCAATGTTTACCGGCCTGTGCCACTGTCAAGAGTTTTTACTCTTATGTGGAATTTACAGTGTATATATATATATACACACACACACACACACACACACACACACACATATTTAGAGTAGCTTTATCCACTGTCTTCTTACCAGACATACAGACGTGTATGAGAGTACAGGGTGTACTGGGACATACACCCAGAAATGGACTCTCAGCTAAGACACCTCTCCCTTTCAGCCCTGCCTGTAAAGAGAAAGACTTTTAGTGTTTGTCTGCCTGGGATTCCTCTGGAATCTCTCACAATTTAGCTTTGTCATCCTGGCTAATGAACGGCTTCTAAAAGCCTGGTTCCACCTCTGTCTTACTGTGAAGACAACAGTGCATTGTCCATACGGCTGCCGTGTGTTCCAAGTACTGAGTAGATGGTGCCTCACGTGGGGTTTGGCACCTAGAAGGGTCTTAATAACCATCGGCTGCTTCTCTGGGTCTCCCTGTTATGATTATGGCTGCGGATCCCCCACTGTCGCTAAGACAGCAGAGAGGAGAAGCGTGTTCGTTCTCTGTGAGTCTTTCCAGCTGCCATGCTGACTGCCATTGAGTCAATACTGACTCCGAGTGCCCCACCCCCACCCCCGCCCCGTGGGTTTACAGCAGAAAGTCTTTCTCCCGAGGAGCTGCGGTGGTTTCGAACACAGCCCACCGAGTAGCCAGGACACCACCAGGGACACTCCGCTTTCCATAGGATACATCTCCCCTATCCTTCCTCACCCTCTCCAATGCCCTGCTCCCTACCGCTCAGACCCTTCCTTGTCTCTCTCGTGGAAATCACACCAGAGTCTAACTCAAGTGGAGAGCCACCCTGCAGCTCTACTTAAAGCTGCTAAGACCCAGGGCAAAGGAGCCCGGTGGCTCCTTCTCTCCTACCTCATGGGTCCACTTGGCACGGGGATCTGTGGTCGGTGTTTCCCTCGTCTTGTGTTCTGGTGCACCGGGCTGCCCCTCTCCTTGGGGTCTGGGGTGCATACGGTGGAAGAAAATGGGAAGGCCGTGGGCCCAGTGGCATGAATCGGTTGCCAATAACGCAGGAGCGTCCTTCAACTCTTATAGCCCTGCTACAATCTTCCTTTTCAGAACCGAGGGGTTGCCAGCTCCCTCCCTCCTTGGCAGTGGCGACACTGCCAGAAGCTGGCGGTCTTCCAGAGCAGTGAGCTTGGGCTCCAGTCTCATTGTCCACCCACTGGACTAACAGGCATGCATCGGGGAATCCCTACAAGCCGCTGCTCACTGGGATCGTGCCTCATCCTTGGAATATTGCGTAAGCACTGAGCTGCAGGGGGCATTCGGTCACAGCGGGCCCGCCCACTCCGACCTGACAGCGCTGTCTACCCTGGGGAGTAGCGCTCCTTCCTGTTCTGACGTTCAGCTACTGCCCTCAAAAGTTAGGATCTGTTGATTAACTCGAACAACTAGGTAACATATAAGCGATGAATAGTAAAGAAAACAGAAAGCTTTGGATACAGTCAGAAAACATGTTCCAAACATGCCCTTTTGCTGGGAAAAGTTTACTGGTGGCTGCTGGCAATGATAAGCTACTAAGTCCTCTTGCTCCAATGCGCTGACATTTGTTCTAGGGTTACGCCATGGGACTTGAGGGGTTTTGGATTTGGTTTTTCTCCTTTTCTGCCGAGACCCACCCACGTGGTGGAGAAATGGCGTGTGCGTACCCTGACTTTGCTGATGGGGTGTCGGAAGCATTTGTTGTCTCCGGTCTCGCTGAGTGTCACGGCATAGAATTGTCCTTTGTTGAGGTAGGTCATGGGGCCCTCCCCTTGCTTCTGGCGCAGAGATTTGGTGGCTTCCAGGGTGTACTGAAACGTGCCACTGTGAACAGAAAACAAGCAGGGGTCAGGTTCACGCACGGGCCTCTCTGCCTTCCTAATCAATGCACGTCGACAGCAGGGCTTGTGAATGCTAACCAGTGTGTGTACTCTATTTTAGAGACAAAACACAGCGGATGGCAGAAGGGATGTGACTGGACTGAAGGCCATGGCTAGTAGATTGCATCTGCCACATCTAATGGGGGCCCCAAACCAGATGGGTCAAAGGAGAAGAGAGTCCCTGACGAGCCTGCCCGCTGGGCCAGGCCATGCCTGAAGTCTGGAGGAGGACTTAGCTGACACTCGGACGACGTCTGCAGAGCTGACCGCATTGCCATTTTTGTTCTAGTAGCTGACCACGATCTGAAAGTCTTTTGTTCAATACACATTTTTGTTCAATACACATATATATACACCTAATCGCCCTTTTGAGGAATCAAGAGGTTACAGATAGTTACATCCCACCTTAACACACTTCAGAATGTGAAAGCCCAAGATCACAACATTTTATTACTGACCACCTCGTTCCCTGACAAAGAGCATCTTCGGTTGTGTTTGTTGGTCTAGAATTATAGGGTCCCAAAAGTTCTTGGTCTACCCAGCTGCCATCTTTGCCCCACCTTATGGGGGGGGGTGGGTTGATTACTCAGCATCCCCTTGGCAATTAAAAGTTTTGGTTCAAATGCCCATATTCCAGGATAAAGGATAGGTATCTGCTTTTGCAACCCTGCGGATGGATCCAGCACCCCCCAGGGGCCACATTGCCCACTTTGGAGAAACATTGGTCTAGATCAGGGGTTTGCCAGTGATCTGAGAGCCAAATCTGGCCTACTACCAGCTTTTATAAATAAAGTTTTATTGGAACTCATATACATGCATCATCTTATGGGTACGGTCTCTATTTTTGTACAATTAAAAAGTTGTGGCAGATTATACAATGTGCAGTACATATTTACTACCTAGTCCATTAAAAAAACTTACAGACTTCCTCCCCTAAATAGTTGCCCTAACACTTAAAATATGGTTTAATTTATAAAACACAAACACTGATTTTCCATAGCTTAAATTAGATTTTTACATTTTTGTTCAAAAGCATTTATTTATATCTGTCACCATTGCACAGTGATCATCTATTAACAAACGTGGTAGTTTCTGAACCATCAGAAACTCCTCCTTGGGGACCCCCTGCTTTTTCGTTCTTTCATTTCATGTTCTTTGAAAGTTCAATGTGAAAGTGACTTAAAATATGCCTCTTAAAATGGTTTATTTCTGGGATCCTTAGCTACTCTTGCTTTTGTTTGTTAAAATATTTCTGTGGGGTTTGTGTTTCCTTAAACTTCTCTAATGAGGGAGAAAATGGTTCAAATGCAAATTAATGTTCCTCTTGGATGATAAAATGTTAGACTTAAGCTTAAACTAAGAAATGAAGAGAATTCCAGAATAGGCTTCTCAGTATAAGATAGGGAGGAACGCATTCAAGACAGAACCAATTCCACTTTCGTTTGCTGTGAAAAGGCAGATTCAATGCTGTGTGGTTGGAGTTTTAGAGATGGGCATTAGGAGCCTTAACCCCACCCATCAATGATTCGTAACGATTTGGCGGCACAGATTGCTTGGAAGCTGTGAAGAATTGATGAGCCCAGCTTCACATAACAGCACATATGGCTTTGAATATAAGTTCAGGGTTTCGTGTCTCCCCAGCCTATCGAGGATAAGCAGCTCTCAGCTACAGCTGGGAGGAGCAGAGACTTGCTCACTCCACAGCCAGGACAGCAGAAGGAAGACAAGTCAGGTCACGTGAGTGGTAGGTGAAGCCTTTTTCTCCCCCGCTGGCCCGAGACAGGGTGATCTGAATGTACACCATGCCAACGACATAGGCCATTCCACATTTGAAAAGACATCTGGGAGGGATGACTGCGGAGCCTGAGGTCAATGGAGTCGGACCCCAAAGGCTGCGCGGAGGGCGTCAGTTGCAAACAGAGAGACAAAAGGACCGAGATGAAAAGTCACGAAGGGGAGAGGCAAGGTGGCAAACAGGACTCGTGGTGAAGAGGAACCAGAACACTGAGAGACCCAGCCACGCTGGTAATAGATGTGTGTTTCCATCTGAAATTTGAAACACAACCAACTACTTTGAGAATGAATGGGAGAGAAGAAATAATTTCTCACCATTCCCTCTTGTCTTCAAGTCTGTGACTAGCTGGCCTCTCCCCCTCCAAGGCTCTTAGTCCTTCTGTTCCTGGGACACTCCTGTGGCTAATCCTTCACGGTCTCACTCAAAAGCCACTTCCTGTGAAGCCTGGCCCCACCCGCTAGTCTACCTCCCACTCATGCCCACTCACGCCCACCCCCGCCTGTCAGTCCTAGCATTCTGTTTGTGAACATCTGGAATAGGGCTCATCGCTCGCCAAATGCACTGCAAGTTGTCTGTCACTACGGAAGTCTCCTCCAACGTCTATGGGTCTCTTCGAGGGAAAGGTGCTATCTTATTCACAGCCCCCACCTCACTGCAAGTAACCAGAAGTCCTTGAAGGACCGTGTTGGCAGGGAGATCAACAAATGTTCTGTGTATTGCAATCATTCCTGAAAGTAGAGCCGAGTGCAGGTGAAAAGGAGGTAGCAGGTAGAATGGCCCGTGCGCACATGCACGTGCAGTGAAAGGGCAGTCAGCAGGCCAGCAGACCCTTCCTTCCACCGAGAGCTTGGGAGCGACATCATTCACCACAAGGGAACGCAAAGGCAGAAGCCTGGGTGTGAAGGAAGTGGATGGGGGGAAGAAAGATGAAGAACTATAAAATGATTTTTTTTAATAAACATTTTTAAAAGAAAGATGAAGAACACGCGTTGAATAGTAGACCTGTGAGTTTGACATTCAGAGCAGCACCTAAGAGACATCCAGCAAAACAAAGAAAGAACGAAGGTCTATGATGCAGAAAACTGATCAAGACTGAAAAGACTTAGCTAGAAGCCACTGGTAGACAAAGAAGAATCAGGAAGCCAGGTTGTTGTGCAAAAGTAAACGAAGAATGGAAGTCCAACTGGTACCTTTAACGGGGGTTTTCAGTTCACCGGTTTTTCGATTCATCTCCTGGTAACTAACCTACCTTGAAGTCTGGTCGTACATGTACTCTTCAGCCCCAACAGAAGCACTCCGAAATTTCTGCAAAGTTCAAAAGCCATCAAAATTAAAACAAATTAGTTCGTGCTAAAGAAAGTGATAAATGTATCCAAGCTGTTTTATAACTTTCTAGAGAGAAATTATTCAATTTTGATGTTATATTTCCAAGCTACAGTGAAAATAGTTATCAGTGCTTCATAGATGCTGACTATCCTCTACAGTAGTCTCCAATTTATTCTGTATTCAACTTACGGCGAATTGCACTTACAACCGTCTGTGTTTTGGAGTTTTCTTTGCTTTTTTTGGTTTGTCTTACCATGAGTAGTACGGACTTCAGTCACTGTGGCAGCGCCTAATTTACTGATACTCTCTTTCTCAGATGTTCACTCAAAGATGCTCAAAGAACAGCTTTATAAAGATACTGATAACAAAGGGCAATACTAATGAAAGGTATTTTTAAAAGAATCAATCTTTGCCAAGGAATCCCACATTAAGTCAGGGGCTGCCTGGACATTATTTGCACAGCGTATCTTCACAGGTATTCTCTAAATGTTTACTTGGTTTCCTCAAACAACAACAACAACAACAAAAACCCCAAAGAAACAACTCTTCAGTTTTCCATCATCTCCACCCTTCTTCCAAATGCTCTAAAGCATTAAGTTCTAAAGTAATAAGACATTAATTATAGCGAGGCCATGTAACACCACAGTCAAAAGGCAGCATAGTCAGAATTGGGAGAATAATTTCTAGAGCTGGTTTGGCCAGGGTCAAGTTCTTGCTGTTTGACCCATTACCTTTGTCACCTGGGGCAAGTGCCCTATTTTCTTCATTCAAGAAAGAGGTCACACGTCTACACCTTCCGGTAATTTGAAGGGCTCAATGAGTTGACAGAAGGGCAGGACTTGACAAGCACCTGGTACCCAGTCAGCATGATATAAGTACTCTTATATTGTCCTTCTGCAAGGACTCCTTCATTATTACCAAATAGTGAATGAATGTATTAGAGGGATGCTAAATCTTCTTATTACACGTGACACCACTTTGTCTGGAGATATACAGATATTGCATGTTCAGTGCAAATAAAAGACACTTTGAAACACCTTAGGACTTTTTCAAAAGTCCATGCACAAAAGTCCTGCCACTTGATCCTGAAATAAATGTAGTAGAACATTGACCATTAAAGCCCTTGGTCACCCCCGTACAGCTGGTCCTTCCATTCTGACATTTTTCTAAGCATCTTTCTAGGAAATGATCCTCTTGCTTCTCCTGTTTCTTCTAGGGATTTTCATTCTTTGACTAGCCTTTGTCAAGAAAGTATTTTCAAACCTTTCCCTAAATCCCTAAATCCCTAACCATGGTCCCTAGAGCACTGTATACTCCTATGTCACAGATTATCTGTACCTAATTCTGCTCCTACAGACGTAGACATTACTTTGATCCAAAAAAATGGCCTGTCTTTCAATATGTAACCAAATGTACCTCATGAACATTTGGCACGTATGTATTAAGTGCTTGAATAATCATGATCTAGAAGCCCAAGGTGCAGATTTGCGATGCCTTTGCAGTCCCTCCGTCAGTGAAGCGGACACTGGGGATTTTCTGGTGCTTCATCAATGATGGGGTGCCAGGAGAAGAACTATGTAAGACAAACGGCTCTGTTCCAATCTCAAAGATTTAAACCCTTGATGCTAAGAGAAAGCAAATGATTAGATATCAAAATCGATGGTCATTCATCCATTCACTCATTCGCCTGACTGGAAAGCAAAAAAGTGGGGGCTGCCAGGAAAGAAAGATGAGCAGAATTTTAAGAATATTCCACTGAGATGAAAAGTTTCTCTCTTGCCCTTAAAAGCTAAAAAGAATTGGGAGAGGGAATCAGCATAAATCAGACATAATGGTGGAAAGAAACATGAGGCGAGCACACGGCCAACGAGTAAGGCTGGGCTTGACTATGAAGTGGGGACCTGAAAAGACAGTTCTCGGCTGCCCACGACGGTAGCCATTGGCCACGTGTGCTATTGAAATTTGTTCATGAGAATTAAACAAATTAAACATTCCGTTCTTCAGTCGACTAGTCAACTACTCCATATGGCTTCCATAGTTGATAGCATTAAAAATTCCATCACTGTACAACGTCCAGTTGGACGGTGATGCTCTAGGTAAGGTTGTTTTCCCTTAGTGTGCTTTCTAAAGAAGTGGGTTAAAAATAAATGACATGTCATTCCAAGATCTCCTTTGGTTTGAGGAATGTGAAGTCATCTATGGTCACTTATGGTGAGCCAATATTAACAAGCATGACCTGGAATATACTGTCCATGCTCTGCAGCTCTGTAGCCTGACAATAAGCTGACCCCCAAACAGATTGCAACTGTAAAGTCTACAGTTCTAATCCTCTTAGATTCCAAAAGAGTGCCAAGCCTCTGCTAACTGAAACGTAGAAGCTTCCTCCGATAACAGAAGTGCATGTGGGCTAGAACTGTGAAAAATTCAAACCAGTTGTTAGGTTCCTTTTCTTCACGTTTAATATTTGTTCCTTAATTCCACTACATGATCTTTATCATTCAAAGGCAAGAACAACAACAAAAATTACAGCAGTGTAATTCATTATAAATTAAGCCGCATAATTCTAAAACCAGGAGCAGCATGCTCTGAGACAAGAGGGAGCATATCAGGTTCTCAGAACCAAGTCGAACACAGAACTGAGGGTGTAAAAGAGGTGCAAGAAGAAATAGGGGAGGCAGATGACAATGATTTGGGGACTGTTAGAGATGTAAATTTTAATCCTGAAAACAATAGGATTTAAGTGAGGGGGTGACAGGACCAGTGTAAACTTCACCAAGACCACCCCAGGTGCAGTGTAGAAAAGAGGCAAGTGGGGAGCCAATGGCAGTCGCATACAGCAGACAGGAGGGTGGTGCATGCAGTACAGGGCAGTGAATTATCCAATGAGGCTCTTCTAGCCATCGTCTCTGGACCTCCCACCAAACGGCCTGCTCCTGGTGGGTCTGGGTAAGAGAAGGTGGAGAAAGACAGTAAGATTCGGTGGTGAGTGATTTTGAATAGGATTTGTTGTGATTGTCATCATGCTGGGCATAAAACAAAACATCTCTGAAGCAAGAAGTGGAGGTTCTTCCTACCAGCTAGAGGAAAGGAGCCAGGAAGACAGCACAGATTTAATGCTACGGCACCATGTGAAACTATTGTTACCTCTCACCTCTTAGAAATTCTCTTGGCATCATGGCCACAGCGTCCATTGTCATGTACATTCTAAGGGCTTTCAAGTTGCTTTTTCTAGCCCAGTCCACTCCTCTTAGCTCCAAATTTTATATCCAGCTGTTTATTCGAAGCATTGGGCTGCCAACTGCAAGGTCAGTGGAAAGACGGGACTTTTACCCCCATAAGGAGTTACGTTTCAGAAATTCAGAGGAGCCATTCTACCCTGTCCTATGGGATCACAATGAGTCGGCATCGACTAGGTGGCCGGGAGTTTGGTTTGGTGCCCTCTCCACAGGTGGTGCCAGTGGTTTGTGCTCAGCCACGAACCTCAAGGTTAGCAGTTCAAATGCATCCAGCAGTGCCATGAAAGAATGACCTGGCAATCGACTTCTATCAAGATTCCAAAAAGGAAAATCAGATCCACTGTGCTTGAGTTGATGCCACTCACCTAGGGTCTCCAGGCTCTAACCATTATAGACAGGAGTCCCGATGACTCAGTTGTTGGGGGCTTGGCTGCTAACAGAAAGGTTGGTGGTTCAACTCCACCAGCAGCTCTGAAGAAGAAGAATGGAGCAAGATGACGACGACCTTGCAGACCTTGTAGAACCAGCGTTCTACTCGGTCCTGCAGGGTCCCTAGGTGTTGGAATTAACTCAATCGAATGGGTTTGGCTAATCCTATGAACCCAGACTGCCACATCTTTTCCCCACAGACAAGATGATGCATCCACACAGCCAGCTTTCCTGTCAGTTGCTGAGCACATAACCACTGCACCAGCAGGGCTACTCGGTAAAGCTTACAGTCAAGAAGTGCCTAAGGAGCAGTTCTGCTCTGTGACACAGAGGGCTGTCATTGAGTCTGAACTGATGCTACGGTGATGGTTGGGGTTCTGGTGTGTGCTATCTACCTCGTCTCTTGCCCCTTGCTGGGGTGACCCTGGAAGCCCCATGTAGAAGTAGCAGTGTTACACAATGAATGGACCCTGAAGTCCTGAGTCTCTGACTGACAGGGAGAACCCGACACAAAATAAGTCACCGGGAAGGCCAAATAAGTGCAGGAAAAGATGCTCCGTGTTACGCTACAGGAGAGAAATACAAGTTTAAACCACAATGAGATACTGCTCACACCAACTTCAGTAACTGAAGTTAAAAAGACGGACCACGCCGAGTTTGAGTAATCATGTTGAATGATGCTTATTACTAATAGGAACGTCAATGGTACCGTCACTTTGGAGCCCTGTATTGTAGTACCTTGTAAAGTTATACATATACAGATATACTAAATGACCCCATGATTCCGGTCCTAAGCATTTACCCAAGAGAAACAAACACATGCATCCACATGAAAATAAGCTCATGAACATTCATAGTAGCTTTTGTCATAATAAGACCAGAGTGATGCCAATGTCCATTCCCTGGTGAGCGACTGATCACATTGTGATCCTGTGGGTGGCCCCTCCAAGATGATCAGAGCTGTTCACACAACCAACAGCATGAATAACTTCCCAAAGTGAATGAAGGCAAATGTAAAACGCATTAGAAAATGCTGAACAATAGTGGCTGAAAATAGACCTGTGGTTGGTCATTCAAGGGGGTCAGGGAGGAACGTGGCAAGTAAGCCCATGCAAAAATGCTCAATGAAATGCAAGAAAACACCCGATATCTTGAGTCTGGTGTTGGTTGCAAATCTGCATATGATTGCCACAATTCCCAAACCATCCACTTAAAATGTGTGCACTTAAACAAAACACGCAAGCAAGCGTAGCTATTCTGCTGGTTCTAAGGGCACAGTTAAGCTCTCCACAAATAGCGAGCACACACACACACACACACTCAACTACTGATAGCATACATTCTTTTTCTGAATTGAGTCAGATAAGATTTTGAAGAGTTATATATATATTTCTATATAGAAATATATATGTATGTATAGGTATAGGCATGTGTGTGTGTGTGTGTGTATAAATTCAGTAGCATCTTTACTTCAGGTGCTATTTGTGAAGCTACCCAAAAAAAGTCAAGGTGAAAACTCATGCAGGGCGTTTTTGTGCAAGCATCTCTCAATGCTATTTGGGAGAGGCGGTGCGGTGGACCATTGGACTGTTTACTGATCCTGGCTTGTGGTGACCAATTGACTTCCCTAATAACCTCCCCCAAAATTGTTGGGGGGGGGGGCAAAGGAATTGGTCATCTAGAGTGCAGACAAATAGAAACATTCTTCCACACACATAGAGTTATTAAAGCGTGTTTAGATAGAAAGATGTCCATTAAAAACAAACCCAAAATATAACTCAGCGTTCCGTTTCTTTACCCCACTCACACAGAGGGGAGTCGAGGGGCAAATTAGCTGGGGCCTGGCTCTGGGTTGGGATCTCATGAAAGGGCCCGGGGAGCTCACCTCGGTGGGTCCGTCTTTGAAGCTCTCGCTGTAGGTGCTGTCCGGGGTGCTGCGCTGGTCTTCCTTGAGATAGGTGCTGTGGGTGGCGATGGGGGGCACGTCAAACTGCGACTGTTCGTAGACCACCACGCGGTGCTCCTCGCCGTCCCCCCGGGGGTAGTGCCCCGGCGGGGCCATGAAGACGGGTGTGAACTCCTCTGCTTTCACCACAGTGACCCCCGACACGGAGACCACCACCGGGCCCTCGGGGATGCTCGTGCTGTACTGTTCCCGCTTGGAATTCTCCAGGTGGTCTTGATTGAGGGAAAGGTTCATGGGAACAGTCTTTAGGACCTGCACTCGGTTTTCCCCGCCACTCACATTGCTCTGCGCTTCACCGGAGCCGAGGCAGTTTCTGCGTGTGGAAACCCACCCCCACAACACGAGAGAATTAGAGAAATCACCATTTTGCGATGGCTGAACAGGGTCACTGTCGTAGGCACTGCTCAGAGGATGTCCGGGATGCAGGCTGAGGCTGGTGGTGCACTTGACCATGGGATGGCAATGCGAACAACACCTGAATCCACAGTGAATATTTGCATCACTTAGTGTAGGACAATATGCTACATGTACCTGCTAGGTTACATGCTTGAAGGAGCTTTGGATTCTTCGCTCTGGGGTTACAAGCTTACTACTAATCCACCTTGGGAGAATAGGGTGGCAGTCTGCTTCCACGAAGATTACAGCCTTTGACCCTTTACAGGGGAGTTCTCTTCTGTCCTACAGGGGCACTCTGAGTCCACCTTGTTTTTTGTTTGCTTGTTTGTTTGTGTATCATATCTTTCAGGGTAGAGTATAGTATCCCATGTATCAAGTCCAAGGGGCAAGATCAAGAGATGGGGCTGACCCAGGACCTAATCAAGCCCTCAGCGCTGACTTCCAGCTTCCCAGAAATACAGAGACTGGCAGGAGTACTTAAACAGCATCGAAAAGCAGCCATCAACCACAGCAGAAGGAAGCACATCTTAAAGGCCTGGCTTCTTCAACAAGTCAAAGTCGTGAAAAGAAGAGGAAGGGTGAGGGGGCTGTTCAAGATTACAAGAGATTAAAGAGCTGTAACAAATACAATGAGCCAAAGAGGCATTTGGGAATCAACTATATGGATTGCTGGATTAGGTATTTGGTGATATTAAGGAAGTATTGTTAATTTAGTTATGTGTTGTCACAGTTGTGCAATTATGTAATAAAATGTCCATATATTTTAGAGACACGAGTCAGAAGTATTTGGAGATGGAAAGGCATGATGCTAGGGACTTGTTTTAAAATACCATCCACCACCACCCAAAAAGTGTGTGTGGGGGTGGGGGGTGGGGCTAAGGGGGTGGGGAAGTGTTGAGAAAAGATAGAGACTAAAAGAATGTGACTAAAAATTTTTCTCTTTACTTACTTGCCCTCATGACAAGATCAGTGAAGATACGGTGCTAAAGCAAAGTGTGGTAAGGAAAGCAGATGGAGCCCAGCTATAAGAAATAGCAGTGTCTGGGGTCTTAAGGCTTGTCTTAAAACAAGCAGCCATCTAAGTGTGGGATCAGCTGAGTCCACAAGGAAGAAGCACGCCAGCCTGTGTGATCCGAGGATTGTAAATTATGAAACCCCAAACCGGAAAGGGGAATAATGTTAGACCTTCGTTTCTCAGCCTCCGGATTACAGGAGGTTATGGATAACAGTAGAAGCCCAAAATCCACTTGCAGGTTCCCTGTGTGAATTAAGCTTCTGGGGAATCCTCTCCCACCAGAGGTGTGACTAGCCTTTCTGTCAGACAGAGTGCATTGAAAAGTAAATTAATACAGGTATGGTTAGTTAAAATTTAATACCTTATCATTTCTACCTTTTGAACCATTTTAAATTTGTTCTAGCTTTTTATCATTTTCTGTTAACTCTTCCATCGAGGTTTTCCTCTGCCTTAATTGGTAATTGTTGTTGAGCTTTTGTTGTTGTTGTTGTTGTTGTTTTTGTTATCTGTTTTTCTTTATGTGAAATCCAGGAGAGTTAAATCTAATGAAACAGTAACTGAATTAATAGTTTCTTGGGGTTATGTCAGGGGGGTTGGGGAAGGAAAAGGAGCTAATAATAATGAGTACAAGAAAAAAGAAAACGTTTTAAAATTGATTATGTTGCTGCTTAGACAACTGTTTTTAATCTTAAAACCATTGAATTGTGAGATGTGAGAATTATGTCAATAAAACTATTACAATTAAAAAATGTCATTTTTCAATGTACTATTACTTGAGGATGGGCTGCACATTGTAAAAAAATCCCTATTGTGTTTTTTACCCTGGGATTCATTACATTATTCTCTGTTCTTCTGTGTATGCCTGAAAATTTTTGAAAGAAAAGTTTATAAGCAGCTTTACAGAACAAAAATTTCTTCTTGAACCCTGGCGAGTAATTTGAAGGGGGTATAGGGTGGGAAGGGCATTTTTCACCATTCTTATAAGATATTCAAGATACATGAGAATTTATCATTAAAATATTTTAGCCAATTTGAGAAATAATATGAGCTCATTGGTAGCCTTAGTATTGAATTACCTTTGGGCTTAAAAAGGTGTTGTAACTGGGCTTATGTAAGACAAGAGTTCCCAGATCTTGGATCTCCTGACTGGAGAAAAGAGTGGGTTGAGAACATTAAGTCTTCAGAGGCTGAAACACGTTCTTTATACCAAGGAATTCTGGGAGATAGCAGAAGCATAGAGGAATGCATTCATAGGAGATTATTGTTGATAGCAATATAATTTTACTATTAAAGGCCTTTGGGTCAGTGAAATAGGGTACAACCTCCCACTGTCGCGGGATCATTCTGAATGGTATGGAGAGCAATAGGTTGTTTTGTGGGGAGCTCTGTCTCAAATGTCGGCTGCATTTTTAACTAGAGGGTGCATTCTGGGGTTACCACTGTGTCTCCCTGAGAAAAATATTCAGATGAAAGTGGTTCCTCTAAGAACTAAACCCATTTCTCGCTCTACAAAAGGAACTCAGCCTCGGAGCTTGCCTCACTCTCATGTTGGATTTGTTATTTCCACTGAGATTTTTCAGCTCAAACTTAAAAGTGACACTTGAAGGGAGAGTGACTCCATATGAACAAAGCTACCAACAACAACCACAACCTAAATGCCTCTGTGTAGGTCACAGGTCCACCAAGATGATTCTAGAACAGAATTCTCTAAGGAATAAAATCACAACTCTACATTCTGTTCTGTAAAGGAATATTGGGCTTTAGTTAATAATCTGGTGGCCTGACCAAATTAATAACAGTGTATCTGTACATAAGGCACCGTGGAACTTTCTAAACCAGGTTTCATCAGAATCAAGCTAGCTGGGAGATGACAAAATCCGGACTCTCCATTGACTGCAGCAGCTCTAAGCCTGTTGGGTTCAGAACATGGAAAGGAATGTTGACAGATGCTTTTCAAAGAAGAAACTCATGATAAAAATCAGTTGGGGAAAAAAATGCTGCCATACATCCAGGCTGATGTTTAAAAAACACAGCAAGGGCTGAGGCACGCCTTCTCCTGGCTAAATGCAGGCCGCCATTCCCCCAAACTCGCTTTCCACCAGCCCCATCACCTGGTGAAAACGTACTCCTTTCTTAGGGACTGCTGAGTTCTGTAGGTTGAGTGAAAAAGAACTGGTCTACGTTGACTTGCTCCCAAACCAATTCACTCGTTTCCACTTCTCTGGGTTTTTCACAGATACCATCTTATTGCCTTTGCCAAAATATTCTAAGTTAACCAACTAGGGGCCACTACAGGTCAACTTTCTTTATCCTTTGATTCATGCAAGAGGTATGAATTCTAAAGAAGAAACACAAAGCCAACGAGTTTGGGGTGGTTTGGGTTTGGGTTGTTGGTGTTCTTACAAACAAATAAGGAGGCAAACAATTGTGCTCTATGGTCTAGTTGAATTGTTATTATGATAGCCCCAGGAAATAACTGATTCCGCATTACTGAGCATGTGTAGCGATGTCTATCAGCTTCAGAAATTAATGCCAGAGAACTTTGGAAAGACAAGTGGAAAATGGATAATTCAAACAAAGGAAGAATTATTGTCGGATACTGAATCACCTTTGGTAGAATTTAAAACGATACCAAATATTACAAAAGAAGAAAGAGTGCATTGCCAAGAATGGTACATTGCATATGCTTTTGGAAATGTTTTGGATTGTATCACTGAGATTTCTCATTTATTTCTCCAAGTGCCATTTTGTGTATGTAAAGCATTTGTAATGATATGGTGTTAGCACCTGGTACCTTAATCCGTAAATTCGCTCCAGAGCAAATGATAGCCTTCAAAATTATATTCAGCCAGAGTCTGCCAGAAAAACCAAGTCCAATACCATTGAGTCCATTCCAGCTCAAAGGACCTGTTACATAATCTGTCAGCATGCGAAGAGGTGGAGTCTAGCCTATCCATCAGGTCACAACCAATGAGGCCTCTGTGTGGGCATGGCTTTCTCCTGAGGATTCTGGGAGCTCCTGTCTTCCTCCCTGGAGGCAGGAGACACTCTCTTTGAAACATTTCTGTTGACAAGCCACTTAGAGCTATGCTGAGGGCAGCCAGAGCTGGAGGAGCCACGTGGGACCCATGCCAGCACTGAGATGCTTCCACCGCCACTAGAGTCTAGTGACTAGACTTTCCACCCACTGGCCTGTCATCTTCCTGCATTCAGCATTGTTGCATGTGTTGCATAAGTCTGAAGAGGACGTCATAGATTGGTATCGGATATCTGGACTAATATTGGACTTATGAACTTGATCTAGATTGGGCTGGAATGTTTTCTCAATATTCAACTGCTTTTGTATATGAAGCTCTTTCTTACACACATATGAGTGTCTCTAGATTTGTTTCTCTAGTCTACCTGGACTCACACAGGAGCCAATAAAACAGATGAGAACTGCCCCAGGGGGTTTCCTAGGCTGCAAATCTTTACAGAAATGGACTGCCACATCGTTCTCCCATGCAGCAGCTGGTGGGTTAGAACCACCAACCTTTCGATTGCTGACCAGTGCCTCAGCTGGACTTCTCTGTAAGCTCTACTAAGTCATGATGAGTCTCTACACGGTGACGTGGTTTCGCCCCACTGCCAAGTTTGTAAGGATGCTCCACTGAAACCACAAAAAGAACCACTGAAACACAATGAGTTGCTGTCAGTGTTTACGGTTGTCTAAAAGATGCTTTTGCAAAAACAAATAAAGACTTATTTTGTCTATTGGTTGTCATGTAGGCAGGGCACACATCTTAGACGTATTTCTCCCTGACCTGCCATTGGCGTCACAGATACTGACAAGGTCATGGAAATGTCTCAGGACCTGCAGAGGAGCAGCTTCTTCCTCCTGGCATCCTGTGTCAACTTGGTCCCAGGGCCGCCGGGCAGCATGGCCCATCAGAAGATCCCTCCTAGAAAGGGCAGTCAGATTCACATAGCCTTCATCTTCTGAATGGGGTACCCCATGGAGGGGATGGACAGTACAGGACCAGTCACAGAACATAAATCATCTCACAAGATAGTAACATCATAACCAGGTCCTGTCAAAGCCAAGAAAAAGTCTGATAGAAATGTGGGGATGGAGAACTTTGTCTTGCCTGACTTTCCAGTTCCACACGAAAGAAGATCCAATAGAAATCATACGTGCCTCCTCTCTGTCCCATTGAAGAACCCCCAAAAACAAACTCACTGCCTTTGAGTTGATGCCCACGCATGGTGACTCTGGAAGACAGAGTAGAACTGCCCCTGTGGGTTTCCGAGACTGTAACTCTTTACGGGAGTAGAAAGCCTCATCTTTCTCCTAAGGAGTGGCTGGCAGTTTCGAACTGCTTACTTTGTGGTTAGCAGCCCAAAGTCTAACCGCCACGGCATCAATCAGAGATGCCTAATGCAACAGAAGAGATTTATCCATTTGGTAAGTTTAGGAGAAGTAGCTAAGCAGAGTAATTCAGCCTCGCCCCCACCCTGCGACCTTTTTTTCAGTGGGGAAGGGGAACTTCGAGCTTCCTGACCCAAAGAGAGGGCACTCCAATCATACCCTGCCATTCCACAAGTGACCTGTCCCTTTGGGGAGACCTGGGGCTGGATGTGAAGATGCATTGCAGTCAGGAATGAAATAAAGTCACATTCTCCAGTGGGGGTCATCAGAGATAAAACCTGTTTGTTAGTTTGTTTCTAAACTTAACACTTCTGTGTCTACTTTTCATCTGGCTCTTAACTCAGGAATACAAGGAAGGGCTTTTCTAGATGATCTCCCACCATCTTTACTGCCCTGAGCCCAAGGCTGTTCCCTGATGCTCACTGCTCTCCACCAGCTGCCTCTATGGGTTGAGAAACACCCATTCTCCCCCTCTCCCTCCTCCTGGAAAGTGATCCTTCAACTATCTCACTATCCTGGGACCTTTCACAGGCATATAGACGTGGGGCTGATCAGAAACATTAACCCAGCAATGGGCTGTCTTGCCAGCATATCATCCCAATGCTTAAGTGTTAAGCCTGCTGGACGTGATTATCTGGAAAGCCCCCGATGGCCTTTGGATGCACAACAAAAATGCAACTTGCTTTTTCTACTGAGAAATTGGTTTGGGTTCAGATCCTAAGAGACTGCTGGAGGCAGCTAAGCTTCTGGACCTCCATACCCCATCCCGTCTCAAGAACAAAATGTGAGTTTAATACTTTAAAAAGAAATCAAATAAACCTGAGCACAAGAGTGAATTCCTCCATGGGACCATACCTTTTATCCTGGTCTTCTTGATTGTCACTGGCTTTACTCACTGACAGCATTCTCTTGTCTCGAGGAACCTGGAAATATCACCAACCGCCGGTCAGACTTACGTAGACGCAAAGCTGGACACCAGTACAAGCACAAAAACGACAATTGAAACATTCTGCAGCCAGTGACCAATCTGCTTAAACGTGAGTAGCGTGAATGGCAATGACTGTGACAGTGAAGCCAGTAACAGGATGGTGATTGTGGTAGTTATATCATCTGTTGTCAATTTGAGAGGATTAAGAGTGAATGGGGTGGAGTTTAGCCTGTCAATCAGGTCACAGCTTGATGACCTTATTTGGAGGCACTAGGGAGATAGCTAGCTGGCTGGAGGCGGGATGCAGGCTCACTTCCTGGGAGACATTGCAGGTGAGAAGACACATAGAGCTACGCCAGTGCCCTGAGCTGGAGGAGCCACACAGAGACCCCTGCCAGCACTGAGATGCTTACAACGCCACTGGATCCACAAGACTTCCCACCCACTGGCCTGTGACTTCCTGCACTCAGCATCATTGCATGTGTTTCCTGAGTCTGAAGAGGACTTTCTGGATTGGTATCAGACATATGGGCTAACATCATAACTATGGACTTGGTCTGGACTGGCCAGGGATGTTTTTTTAATGTGCAATTATTCTTTATATAAAGCTCTTTCTTATACACATACGAGTCTCCCTGGATTTGTTTCTCTAGTCTACCAGACTAACCCAGCAATAATCATAGGACCACAACCAAGGGCAGCCCTGAGTCTGCTGTACTCTGCTGTCATGGGAGACTCTGTGGAACCCCCTCCCACCCTGAACACCTACTTTGTCCTTCTCCCCCACCAAGCTACTTCCAGGGAGTAGGTGAGAGGAAAGGAGCAATGTCGGTAGACAGGGACTCTGGACATGTGTGCACTCACACAGACGACAGGGAGTCGAGTCACAACATGCACCCTGGTAAGGGGTGTGGCCTGCCAGCTTGATGGCCCTGGGGCTGCATGGGCACGTTGGCCATTGGGACGGCAAGAATATGATATAACATGTGGAGCGCCCTCTCTGCACCGTTCAGGAGGACACGTTCACCGTGTTTCTGCAAGTGCATTTCATCCTTAACAACCCCCTCGATTGCTATTAGGTCGCCTCTGACTCGTGGGGGTCGTCAGTGTGTGGAAGGAAGTAGCACGGTCCCCCAGAGGACTTCCAGTGGCTGGTTTTCCAGAAGTGGATCACCAAGTCCTTCTGCCCAGAGGCCTCTGGGGCGAACTCAAACCTCCAACCTTGGGGTGAACAAGTGAGCAGCACATTGACTGTTGGTTCCATCCCGGGACCTTAGCCACTGAAATATCAACATGTTCCTGAATTGCTGTGTGGGAGAAGAGCTCTTCCCAACAGTTGTGTTTCTGACCATCATCTCTATAATGACGCTCATGCCTCGTGGGCTCTTTAGACTTCTCTGCCGTGGGCTCGAGCTCAGGGAGCGTAGGCCTGGATCTGGTTTGATTATCATGGTTGCATTTTGTCCCTTTGGGTTTTTTGTTGTGTCCCTTCCTTCTGCCTAAAATCTTATCCACCCAAAATGCTGCCTTCACTATTTGAAGATGAAAGAGCACTCAGGAGAGCAGGGTTTATTTATTTGTTTGTTTTCCAGTTCCCCGGATGTGTCTGCAAGCCCATTCAACAGGACGATGAAGAAGACACGCAGGGTTGCCTACGAGTAGAGTCTTAGCACCTCACTGCCTGGGTTTGAGCCTCAGCTCTATCATGAACCAAGCATGCCTCGCTTTCCTCATCTGTAAAATGAAAATAATGGTGCCCTATAACTCACAGGGCTTTTAGGAGAATTAACTGAGCTGACCAAAAATTTTAAAAGTAGACCTGTGACTTTATAAATATTTTAAAATGTAGTTCCTTGAAATCTGAAATAAGTTCGCATGGAAGAAGTACACCAGCCTGAGGGATCCAAGGATTGCTAAATAATAAAACACAAATCCAAAGGAGGGAATGGTATGAGACTGTAAATTGTGAACACCTGGTTTGCAGGAGGCAATAGATGACCGGGGAAGTCCCAAGTCCATTCATAAGATCCCACATGGATTAAATCTCCGATGACTCCCCTCTGACCATACTTGAGAGATGTGAACAGCTTTGCTCTCAGAGAGAACATCGTAGTATCGAGGGTGGCACATGTAGTTAGGTTACACTGTAACACCTTATCATTTTATCTTCCTTCTGACCCATTTTAAATTTGCTCCAGTTTTTAATATGTTCTGCTTTCTCTTTGATTAAGGTTTTCCCCCTCTTTCATCTCATCATTATTGTTGGCCTTGTGTGTGTGCGCTGTATGACTGTGTTTTGTTTTATATGATTTTCCGTACATGGAATCTAGAAGGGGAGGTCTCTAGCAATAGTAAGTAGGAACATCACCAGGAAGGACTGGGGTAAATAGGGGCCAATGTTAAGTATGAGAAGAAAATGTTCTGAAATTGATTGGTGATGATTGCACACATTTCTGAATATGATTAGACAATTAAATTGTACAATATGTGAAGTACCAATACAACTTAAAAAAAAAACAAAAAACAGTTCCCGCCATCTACAGATCCTGGCAGATACACACAGCGCCTCAATAACTGGTCATACGAGGTAACAGCGAACCTCCTGGGGAATGCCGACAGCCGAGAATAGAGCGTCTTCATGGAATAGGGCTCTGGGTAGGAATTGGTCAGGGGAATGAAGAATTAGGACATCTTTCTAGCCCAGAAGGCAATGTATTAAGAAGTCTTTGGGGTATAATAAAAGAAGTCAAAGGCAGCTTAAGACAGTAGTGAGGGGGTAATGTGTTCTGAAAGATGAACAAAAGCTAGGTGAGCCAGGGCCTTGAACCAGCAGTGTGTGTATGGCTTCTTTGTGGTCCCTTTACCCGGCTGTGTGCTGTGTGTGGCACAACTGTAGCCCCCTTCACTATCAGGGCATGCATCACTCACCCTCTCCCCCTACAATCAACCAGGCACAAAGTCCCACAGGTCTCTGAAATCATCCACTTCCTTCTGGATTCCTGCCTCCTAGCTCAGCCTCCTGTATAGCTTCATCAGTCTCCTACCTGGCCTCTCCTTCCCCATATTTCATCTCTGTAAATCCACTCTCTTTATAGGAGACGGTCGAGCGACTTTTAAAATACCAGTCTGATCCCATCATGTTCCTACTTGAAATACTTCAAAGGTTTCTCATTATTCCTAGAGTCTTTCACACGCTGTGCCACTGCTGTGGGGCGGGGGGCCACTGAGGACCAGACCGAGGGACACCAAAATGCAGTGCTCTGGAGACATTTGGTTACTGATAAAATATCCCTGCAGTTAGTTATAATAATAAAAACATTTTTCATAGGTCTGTCTAAAATGATTTTATGCTAGAAAGCTAAAACTCTATACTAATTTACTTTTGGGTCCTCCCCTGAGCACTGGTCGGAGATGTGGTTATTGCCCAACTACCATGGTGGTTCAGCTCATGTGACTTCATCTGCACACCCCACAGGCGCTCCCTGCTGTTGTTCCATTGTTGCTTTTGCAGTTACATATTTTGTTATACTTTCTGGTGTTATAATACCGTGATAATTCGAATTTTTAATAGTCATAGTATCATGATAATTAGAATTTGTAGACTTACATCAATCACTTTCTGAGAATATGGAAAGTAAAAAGTAAAAAGGAAATAAAATCTAAAAAGATCTCACTCAGTTACTAATGTAATAATGCTGAAATTCCACGTAGAAGGATTTTGTAAGACAATGTTATTGCTAATAGTCATAAAAATCTAAGACATAGTACATTTTAAATTTTTAAACAACCATCATATATTTATATTATTAAGTTTATATGTTTACTCTGTGAGATGTTTACTCTACTCCACGATTAAAATTAATAATAAACATACGAAGCATCTTAGTTATCTAGTGCTCCTCCAACAGAAAGAGCACAAGTGATGGCTTCAACGAAGAGAAATGTCTTTGCTCACAGCTTAGGAAGCTAGAAGCCTGAATTCAGAGTATCAACTCTAGTAGCGTGCTCTCTCTCTCTCTCCCTCTCTGTCAACTAACGCGGAGGAAGAGCTTCCTGTCCTGGCATCTGTACTGGACACTGAGCCAATAATCCGAGAAGCGGGCCCTATAAGAACAGAACGTGGCATCGAGAACGCGGAGGGCTTACTCAAGCTGCGGATGCAGGTGGCCCAGCCCTGCTGGCTGAACGTGAAAAGGACGTGAAACACTTGCTGGTGAAGGTTAAGGACTGAAGCCTTCCATCTGGGTCACAATCCAATGGAAAGAAACCCAAAGCCCTCATCACTGGAACAATAGGTAACAGCATGATACATGAAATTACACTGTGGGTGTGGGTGCACAGATATTCACGGGTCTTGGGCTCCATCTTCCCCTGGATCTAGAAGGTTCTCAGCACTGGAATCCCAGTCAAAAGGACAAGTTCTGCTCCCCATAATCCTGTATTGGTAGTACTCAGGTGCCTCTGATTATGGTTTTAATCTTTTTTATTTCTCAAAAGAGATTGGCTCAATATTTAATCTAATTCAGTAGATTGTGTCCTGCCTTATTAACATAACTACCTAATGCCTAAAGCAATGTTGCTGTTGGTGGTGGTGTTGTCAGGTGCCATTGAATTCGTTCCAGCTCATAGTAACCCTATATACAAGAGAATAAAACAGCCCCCAGTCCTCACGCTGGCTTAGCGTTGACTCCATTGCTGCAAACACTGGGTCCATCCATCTGGTTGAAGACCTTCCTCTGGGTTCTGCCTCTCCACATTGCCCAGCATGATGTTCTTCTCAGGAGCCTGGTTTCTCAGGACAACGTGTCCTAAGTACATGAGACAAGTCTTGCCATCCTTGCATTCTACTTGCACTTCTTCTAAGACAGATTTGTTTGTTCTTTCGGTCGTCCATGGTACTTTCAATATTCTTCACCAACTCCACAGTTCAAATGCATGGATTGGTCTTCTATCTCCCTTACTCAATGTCCAATGCTCACATGCATAAGAGGTGAT